ATCCTTTCCTGACTAAAGCACCCACAGCAGTGTCTGTTCTCTGCAATGATCACTGCCGCTGACCACTGCTCCACCTCCTGGGCCTCTCTCACACCTGGAGCCTGCGCCCTGCCTTGCCACCTTCTATCTAGTGTCGTGGGAACGCCCTGGAGGGCTGCAGTGTGTGGACTGTGATCCACCAGAAACAAGGACAGCAATTCAAAGGCTAAGAAGGAGGCAGGTCCAGGAGGAACCTGTAGGGAGGACCATCTGGCCAGACCTCCACTGCCCTGTCCAGACTTGAGCTTGCCTAATAGATGAAGCATCAGTCATTTCAGCAACTGGAGATATGAGTCATCATCATCATCATAGCACTCATTGTGTGCCAGGCACTATTCTAAATACTTAAAAACATTAATGTAGTAATTCCTCAGAGCCCCCACATGAGACAGGGACAGGTATGACCCCCATTTCACAGATGAGGCTGAGTAGCGTGCCCAAGCTTACTCAGCCAGGAGGCACAGCAGCCAGGCCTGACGGACCACCTGGGTCCAGCGTCTGCTCTCTTAGCTGCCATGTGCTATAGCAGCCTCTGTTAACAGACACCCTTTCTGGATGACACATGCCAAGTACTTTCCATGGAACCACTCACTTGCTCCTCACAAGGAAGAGCTACATTATTCCCATTTCACAGGTGAGAAAACTGAGACCCAAAGAGAGTTAATGATCTACCCATGGTCACAGAGTTGACAAGGGCTCATTTGCTGGACTCTAAACCCGAGCTCATAACTGCTATGCTCCAGGGCCTGCAGGGAAAATTCTGCATCCATGGAGGGGCCAGCGCTAGTTCTCAGCTCTCACACAAGGGAGGAGGAGGGGCCTGTGTCCAACACACCCAAAGACTGCATGGTCTTCAACCTCCCTCCTGCACTTTGGTGCCCATCCCACCATACCCTGCCCGGGCACTGCCCATGACCCTGCAGGCTCAGAGGCTCCTTCATGGCAGGTGGAGACCACCACCCTCCTCTTTGTCCCCGACATTGCAGGCACCCACCTTCCTGATCGCTACCCACCTGCCACACCTGCAGCCGCCATGGTGATGTCCCTGCAGGGGAGGATGGCCCATCTTCCCTTTTTGCCCTCTGGGGAGACTTCTGGTCACTCTCTAATGTTCTGGACAGTTTATCCTTCCATCTTTGTCTTCACTTCACCACTGAAACAAACAAAACAAGCTGGATTCTGCTTCTGAGCTAAAGGTACCCACCTAATATTCCCTTTTCATTCACCAGCTCTGCCCCCAGAGCCTCAAGCCCAGCGTCTGCCCTTTAGTGGATGCTTAGAAAAACACCAGCTGGACACATAAAAGGGCTGTTCCACTGTCCCCCAGACACTCCAGAACCCTGCCCTCCCCACTATCCCCTTCTGCACCCTGACTCTCCTTGAGAACCTCTTTGGCAGAAGTCCTCCAGTGAGACTGCAGCTTGGCGCACTTACCCTGTGTTAACTGGAGCCGCTCTACTTCATTCTGCATTAATAGTTCATTGGATTCAAAGTCTCCACCTGCTGTGGAAGCAACCACCTGCTCTTCTCATAACTCTCCCCAGTCTATGCAGTGAAGAATCAAACTCTACCCAAGAAGTCTGGCCTTTGTCCTGGCTCCTGGGAAGTCCCACCAGCTACAAACCCTTGGAGTAAAGAATGTGGCTGGTTGTCAGCAGTTCCCAGGAGGTAGGCCGAAATTCCCAGGGATTTCCCAAGTGATAGGAGTATCTTATTATTCATAGAGGGCCCAAGAGGTTATGTGAGTGAAGCGACTCGTGGTGGGCCCTAAGTAGTTTTTTATGACAATGTAACTGTGGAGGGGCTGGCCACGCCACTGAGATTCTGTGATATTAGCCTGGCCTCCCGAGGTGGACCTGAAAGATGAGTTCAACCCAGTAGCCAGTGAGTCCATCCACCACACCTAGAATAAAAACTGTGGAACCCAAAGCTCAGGTAACCTCCCTGCTTGGAAATAGCATTTAGTCACACATCAAGGTGCTGAGAGGGTGATGCCTCTGATGCTACATGGGGAAGACAACAAGAGCTTTGTGTTTGGGCCCCTTGCCATCTCACCCCTGTGTTTCCTGTTTTGGCTGGTTCCGATTAGAATGCTTTTGCTATGATAAAATTGTGGCCTTATGTACAGCACTCTCCTGAGTTCTGTCAGTCATCCTAGTGAATTATGGAACCTCAGGGGTAGTGGTAACTCTCAGATTTGCAGCCAGTCAGTCAGCAGTGGGGGTAGGCTGGGGACCCCTGAATGTGCAACGGGTGTCTGAAGCGAGGGCAGTGTTGTGGGGGACCGTACCCCTCACCTGTGAGGTTTGGCTCATCTCAGGTGGTTTGGCATCTGAAGCCACTGCATTTAGTTTGGTAACCTCGTTGCCCGGTCCCAGTGGAAGGATCCTAAACCTTTCTGATACAATTATCCAGATTTTCTCCTTCACAGAACTTGAGACACTGCAATAAGATCCAAAGCTATACATACATACATACATACATATATATATACACACACACACACACATACATACACACACACACATATACATAGTGAAATACTATGCAGCCTTGAAAAAGAAGGAAACCCTGTCATTTGCAACAACATGGATGAATCTAGAGGACATTATGCTAAGTGAAAAAAGCCAGGCACAGACAGACAAATGCCACATGATCTCACCCATATGTGAAATCTAAAAAAGCCGAACTCAGGGTTCAGGGAGGCAGAGAGTAGGATGATGGTCACCAGGAGCTGGGAGGGTGGTGATCAGGAAGATGTTGGTCAAAGGATATAAAATTTCAGTTGGGAGAAATAAGTTAAAGAGAGCCATTGTACAACATGGTGACAACGGTTGATAAAAATATCCTGTATACTTAAAAATCATGAAGAGAGGCCAGGTATGGTGGCTCACGCCTGTAATCAGCAACTTGGGAGGCTGAGGTGAGTGGATCAACTGAGGTCATGAGTTCGAGACCAGCCTGGCCAACATGGTGAAACCTGTCTCTACTAAAAATACAAAAAATTCGTCGGGCGTAGTGGCACATGCCTGTAATCCCAGCTACTTGGGAGGCTGAGGCAGGAGAATCGCTTGAACCCAGCGTGCAGAGGTTGCAGTGAGCCAAGATTGTGCCTTTGCACTCCAGTCTGGGCAAAAGAGTGAGACTCTATCTCAAAAATAAATAAATAAATAAATCACAAAAGAGTAAATATTCTTACCAAAAATAAGTATGTGAGGTACTGTATATGTTAATTAGCTTGATGTAGCAATTCCATAATGTATGCACATTTCAAAACATTATATCATATACCATAAATATGTGCAGTATTTGTCAACTTAATAATAATATTATTATTATTAATAATAATAATAGGCCGGGCGCGGTGGCTCACGCCTGTAATCCCAGCACTTTGGGAGGCCGAGGTGGGTGGATCACTTTGAGGCCAGGGGTTTTGACACCAGCCTGGCCAACATGGTGAAACCCTGTCTCTACTAGAAAAATAAAATAAAATAATTTTAAAAAAATAAATGCAAAAATTAGCCATGCATGGTGGCATGTGCCTGTAATCCCAGCTACTCAGGAGGCTGAGGCTGGAGGACACCTTGAGCCCAGGAGTTTGAGGCTGCAGTGAGCTATGATTATCACTGCACTCCAGCCTGGGTGACACAGTGAGACTCCGTCTCAAAAAAAAAACAACCACCACCACCACCAGAGGCAAAACCTTAGCAATCTTAGCAACACAAATTTTTAGAGGATCTTCCAGAAGAAATTCATAGACAGAAGAAAGTCAGAGACCAAGGGAAGAGAACTGGAAGCAGGAAAGCTGTGGGAGAAAAGCAGCGGGCAGGCAGGCCCCAGGAATCCTGCTGCCTGTGAGCCCTTCTTGGGAGGTGGGGACAGGGCCCAGGCACCCAGGTGAATGGTCGGTCCTTATGTTCACTGCTGGGATGAAGCAAATGAGCACCTTATTGTGTCCAGATGAATTCAATAAAAACAGCAGGGTGGGTGGTGGGGCACTAACAAGGGGAGCTGATTTGTCAGTTGGTAAGACTGTAGCTCCTTCTCCTAATTAGCTGAGGATGTGTTTAGGTTCCATTCAAAAAGTGGGCATTCCTGGCTGGTCATGGTGGCTCACACCTGTAATCTTGGAGCTTTGGGAGACCGAGGTAGGAGAATCACTTGAGCCCAGGAGTTTGAGATCAGCCTAGGCAACATAGTGAGACTCTCATCCCTACCAAAAAATAAAAATAAACATTAGCCAGGCATGGTGCACTGGTACACATCTATGGTCCCAGCTATTTGGGGGGTGAGGTGAGAGGATCGCTTGAACCTGGGAGGTTGAGGCTGCAGTGAGCCCTGATCACAACACTGCACTCCAGCCTGGGTGACAGAATGAGACCCTATCTCAGAAAAAAAAAAAATTTTATTCCTGAAACCTCCAAACAGACTTACCTTGCCAAGGGCTTCCTTATGGATTAGAACCTTATGGACCTGCTGGGACCCAAACTAGGCCTCACCTGATGTGACTTGCCCGTCTCCTCCAAACACCTAAACTTGGGAAAACATTATGCCCCAGTGCTGAGGCAGAGAGTCTGTGCCTGTTATTCTCCCTCTACGCAGAGATGGAGCCCCAGATCAGCTTTTCCACGACAGAACAGTTTCTAAGATGCCACCCATACTTGGAAGAAGCCAGGTTTAAACACTTTTCAAGTCAAACTTTCTTGATATTACTCTATCTTTCCCCAGGAGGACTGCACTACGACAAATTCGGACACCTGTGGCCTCTCCCTCCTATGCAAAGCAAAAAGCCAGCAGCAGCCCCAAGCTGATAAGATTAATCTAAAGAGCAAATTATGGTGTAATTTCCTATGCTGAAACTTTGTAGTTAATTTTTTTAAAAAAGGTTTCATTTTCCTATTGGTCTGATTTCACAGGAACATTTTACCTGTTTGTGAGGCATTTTTTCTCCTGGAAGAGAGGTGCTGACTGGCCCCAAATGACTGACAATCTGGTGTAACGAAAATTTCCAATGTAAACTCATTTTCCCTCGGTTTCAGCAATTTTAAATCTATATATAGAGATATCTTTGTCAGAGCATAGCATTGTTAGCTTCTCCTGATAAACTAATTGTCTCACATTGTCACTGCAGATTGACACCTATTAATGGGTCTCACCTCCCAACTGCTTCCCGCTCTGTTCTTCCTGTTAGCATGTGCCGGCAACTTTGTCCATGGACACAACTGTGATGTCGCCTTAGAGGAGATCATCAAAACTTTGAACATTGTCACAGAGCAAAAGGTGAGTACCTATCTGACACCATCTCTCCAGATGTTCTGGTGATGCTGTCAGTATTTCTAGGCCATGAAAACCTAACAGCTGCTAGAGAGGTTGAAACTCGTGGCCAGGGCAGCCAGGGGAGCAGAGGGAGGCTTCTCCCCTGACACTCTGTTTATCTGAGGGTCTGTAGGAAGTTTTCTCAGTTGGAGGGAGTGAGATATGCTCATCAAGGACTGCTCTGTCCAGTTGGAGGTTAACTCTGTCTCTTGCTCTCTCGTTTCTGCCTGGACCAAGACTCTGTGCACCGAGTTGACCGTAATGGACATCTTTGCTGCCTCCAAGGTAAGAAGCCGTCCCGCGGTCTGTTTTGGCAAATGGCGACAGCCATCCCCAAGTGTCTGAACAAGAAACTTGTTGAATGGAAAACGAGCGGGCCCAAATTAACTATAGGTGTTAGACGTTTTCAAAGAATGAGAATCTGATCTTTACTCTTAAGCATGTTTTGGTCTTTCTGGTTTCACTTGATTTAGAATACGTGTAATAGAAAGCCTACAAACTGTAATCCTGACTCAGATCCTGGTCAAAGAAAAGCCCTCTTGGGTTTTACTTAGTTTTGGCATAGTGCCTGGAATGTACAAGGCACTCAATAAATGTCTGTTGAATGAGAGACTTTTTCTGGCCCATACATTTCTGAAAAACCAAATACCCTCACAAAAACAGATATTGAGATGACAGGTTGAGGGAGCTTTCATTTTGTCTAAGAGACTTCCTACGGCAACAGAAAAGGTATTGCCAGAGCCCCTCCTCTTACACAACCTGGCCACCTAACAGCCCACTGGGTTCCGGGGCTGGCTATCCAGACCCCCTCAGCTTGCTCTGGCTGGCCAAACTGTCCTCCAGCCCGGTCCAGAACCACCCTGCTAGGCGGCGTCCAGCACATCCCTGCTTCGGGCTGCCTGGGCATCTCGCCTCTCTGCCTCCTGTGCTGCCTCACCCCCACCCATCTATCTGTAGTGGGAGGAGACAGATGTGACAGCTGATAGTGCATTTTCTCTGACAAACATGACTACAGCCATATCAATAGTTTTGTGCACTTCAGTTCCTGTTTTCATGGAAACACACGGCTGAGAATGAAAGCCCCAAAGCCTCAGTTTAACAGTGGTCTCCTAACTACCTGCTTTCCGCGCAATGAAGCCCTGTGGGCTGGGCAGGACCATACCCTGGCACCCAGGCCATAGAACACGGCCCATCCTGCTCCATGAGGGACACTGCTCTTCAGGTCTTTATCTGGACTATCTCATTTCATTAAAGGTTATCCCAAGAGTCCGATACAGGATGACATTCTGAAGGACAAATACACACTTTTTTTTTTTTTCTGAGATGGGGTCTTGCTCTGTCACCCAGGCTGGAGTGCAGTAGAGCGATTTCAGTTCACAGCAGCCTCCACCTCCTGGGCTCTAGCAATCCTCCTACCTCAGCCTCCCAAGTAGCTGAGAGGATGGGTGTGCACCACCATGCCCAGCTAATTTTTGTATTTTTTGTAGAGATGGGGTCTTGCCATTTTGCCTGGGCTTGTCTCAAACTCCTGAGCTCAAGCGATCTGCCACTTAGGACACCAAAATGTTGGGATTAGCCACCACAACCTGGTAGCAGTTTACATATATATATATATGTGTGTGTGTGTGTGTGTGTGTGTGTGTGTATAAATGTTTTATATATATATATATATATATATATATATATATATATATATAATCTATCTATCACCTATCTATCTATCTAAAATCTCCAAGTCTTTCCAACCGAGATGGCTCCTACTAGCATCCAAGAGCCCACTGGGTTGAGCCCTGGAGGCCTACTGCTGAGAAGGCTCTCACAAAGCCAAGGGAAGTGCCAGCTCTCTAGAAGCCAGGCCTGGAGGAAGGGTGAGGGCCTGGAGGTGAGGCTGCCTGTGGTTTTGGCCCCAGCTTTGCCACTGACTAGCTGTGTGGCTGCCCTTCAGCACTTCTTCACACCTCTCTGCACCTCAGTTTCCACATGTGAAGATACGAAAGTGATTCTGAAGGTGATTGCAGAGCTGATTGGAAACCAGCTTTTGAGTTAGTGGAAGGTGCTTTTGTGAGATGATATAACTCTGATTAAAAGCAAAGACAGGTTGCAGAGAAGCGATGGTTCTAAGAAGGAGGGGCCCAGGTTGGAGAGGATCAACCTTCCAGGATGCCGAGCCTGGGGCGACCCATCTGGGCTGTTTCTGCAAGACCCCCAGACACAGGCCAGGACACACCGCTGCCCTCCCGTCCTTAACTCCCCTCTTCACTCAGTCCTCACTCACCCCTCTCACCACACACAGACATCTCCTAGAACAATCCCACTGTCTGCCTTCGCTCTCACCTGTCTCACGAACTTCATCCTCCTGGAGTTCGCAATCTCAGTGTTCCACTCTTTTCTTCCCCTCAAAGATTCAGCACTGCTTACTTACATGTTAAGATATTTCAGAACGTGATATGTTGCTATTTTCAAAGCCTACAGAGGTGTTATGCAGAGAAAAATGTACTTCTTTGTGTTCCCAAAGAAAACATCTTTCCAAAATCCAGCCTATTAATTGTATTATACTAAAGAATTGGAGTATCTCTGAGTTGGGCAGCATTCTACTCTTGGCAGCTGCTGGAAAGAAGGCACTGATCTAGGTCCTGGGCTTCATAGGCAACACCTGTCAAGGCTGTCTGAAGAACAGCAAAGTGGGAAGAAGCGAGCTGGCTGGTTGATGAAGGGTTTCTTGGGTGGACAAGTAGTTGGAGGTATTTCCTATTTACCAGAGAGAGCTAAAGTTCATAGCTCTACAGAGAGTTCCATAATGAACCTCAAATATCTCGGTTTTTGAAGGAGTTTCCCAGCTGACTATGCCGGGCTGGACAGGAGATAATGAATGCAGTGCCAATCAGGCTGGATTTGTATGGTCCTCAGTGAAGCTGGTCAAGAATCAAGTTAGAACTCTCACAGAGTCACTGCCACGGAAGAAATCTCCCAAGTGGCTGTTTCCTGACATTCCCGGGAGGGACAGAGTTCCTTCCAGCATGGGCCCAGGCCCTCCTTCTGAGTGACTCCCTAAGCAGTTCTGAACTGTGAAGTCTGTCAAAGTGCTCCCCTGAGGCACTGCCCTAGGACAGACACACCCAGCAGCAAAAGCTAGATAGGCAGGTAGGAGCGGTCCGGGGCCAGGACAGGATGGAGTGTCATCCCGTGGCTGTGCAACGACCAGTGCAACGACAACATTAAGGCCTTGCACTAAAACTGCCCTTAGGATGCGTTCTTCTAAAGTTTTTCCATTTGATGCAGACTCTTTTCAATTCTTATTTCATCCTCGTTCCCTTTAGAAAGTCCTTTGAAAAACATCTTTAGAGGGTTTTTTCCTATACTTATGTGGCCATATATGGGTCAAAATTAAGTTTAATTTCTAGGCTCCAAGCCAACATTTCAGAAATATCTCACCAAAGTTTGTGGGAAAAGAAGCAAAGCGCTGACTCTTTGGCTTTCCTGAATCTCACCGCTCCCTCTGCAGCAGCATGGGTGTCTGCCCTCTAGACACACAGGTAGCGTCTGCCCCCACCCCGTGTCCTCTCCACTTCGACTGGCCCACAGAGCCCAGAGAGGTCTGTTTCTTGGCTCCGATAGCCCAGAGATACTGGCACACTCTTACATTTCCCACTAGAATCAGGAACCAGGAGCGACTTTCAGTTCATTAAGTAAGTGTCCTTCCAACCGCTCTGCCCATGGACATCATGCCGCACAGGGGGAAGGGGAAGGGGAAGGGGGAAACTTCTATAGCCAGGGATTCTGGTACCTCAGTCTGGATCTAGATCTTCCTGGAAAAAACATTAAAATATGAACTGCATTCCCAGAGTTTAGTCTACATAAATAAGAGATGAGCACAAAGATTTATATCGTTTACTCACTGCCGCTTACTTACGGAAGAAAAAGCTGCTCCAATAGGGGCCTGACAAATGACAGTACAGCTATGCCATGTGTTCCTCTGCAGCTCTCAATCCCACGCTCTTAAATACCACCGAAGGCCTTAGGAAGTGCTTATGGTACATGTAAAGCGTAAAAAAGTTACAAAACAGTGTCAACAGTTGATCTCTATTTTAAAAAGAGAAAGTATTTTTAAAAGTGTGATGATATTTACCAAAATATTAACAGCAGTTACCTCTGGCTGGTGGGATGAGTGAATGCATTTTTGTTGAATATATATTACCTTTATAGTAAATAATATATATTACCTTGATCATCAGAAAAAAAAAAAATGTAAGAACTTAAAAGCTGCTTGGACAGTGCTGCTGATAGAAACCCTGAGGATCTTGTCGCTGCTCTTCTGACTCAGAGAGTCTGGGCCGGGCAGGGGTGGTCTGAGATTCCGCATTCCTAACAAGTGATGTCCATGCGACTGGTCCGTGGACCACACTTTGGGTAGCAAGGAACCAGAGCATGTCCAGGCAGAGGCTGGAGATAGCTTTCTTTGTCTGAACTGGATAAAGGAACTGGGCTCAAGCTAAGACCCCTCTCCAGGTTCTGCATCTTTGTTTTTCAGTGGAAAATGAGAGGACATACCAGACCCAGTTCAGACTGAGACACAATCCCTTTCCTGGGTTCCCAATGACTTGTTTTCCTATGTGTCCATTCCCTCCTCTAAAGCTAAGGGCCCCAGGAAGAGCCATGTGGCCAGATCCTCACAGTTGCCGGCATTCCAAGGAGATTCTCACTCCGCACCATGTGGGGCCAAAAGGCCCCTTACAGAAGCTCTGCCCAAGGCTCAGCTCAATGGCACCCACTCCCAGAGCCTCCCCTGATCTCCCCGGGTACCCTTCCCCAAACTGCACACTTATCTCTTGCTGCCTGGGGAAATATCTTAGCTCCTCACTTGGACCATGTGCTGCTCTCCTCTCCCATGGGGAGGGCCAAATGGAGAGTGCTGCCCAAAGCAGCAGAGTCCAGGGCAAAAGATGTGTGCTCATTTATTCATCAGGCATGCAGGATTTCCAGGGAACGCTGGATTTTAAACCCTTTTGGGAACGACAGCAGAACCTGACTGAGAGCTCAAGTGGGTACTTTCCATAGAAAAATAGCTCCCAGGGTAGAGAGACAGGGATGCGGAATCAGGGTTGTACAACACATGGTCCTGCATTCTAGTCCCCACTGTGCCCTTCCCTCATGGGGTGACTTTATTCAGATACCCGTTCAGCAAAATCGGCTGCTGCGTTTGCAAGTAATTGGGTGAGGTTGTTGACAGAGGTGTATGTCTGTGGCAAGCAGCCTTCCTTCAGTGGAATACTTGAAGACGGGTCTGTAGTGGAGCAAACTCACCTCCATTTGTCCCCCTGGAAAGAAGAAATCAAGAGGAAAGATTTCTCTCCCATCCTCCAAATGGAGCTGGTACATGGCTATCTGTGGCATTTGTCTTTCCAGAACACAACTGAGAAGGAAACCTTCTGCAGAGCTGCGACTGTGCTCCGGCAGTTCTACAGCCACCATGAGAAGGGCACTCGCTGCCTGGGTGCAACCACACAGCATTTCCACAGTCACAAGCAGCTGATCCGATCCCTGAAACGGCTGGACAGGAACCTCTGCAGCCTGGTGGGCTTGGTAAGCTGCACTGCATTCCCAGGAAGCAGGCAGCGTGGCTCCTGGTGGACAGCAGCCTCACTTCTAAACGCTCCTCCTCAGGAGCTGCAACACCCTTGGTCAACCCATTCATTCATTCATTCATTTAATAAGTATTTGCTGAAGTTCCACGGGTGCTGCGTGCCATTCCAGGTGCTGAGGATGTGTCATTAAAGATGACACACAGGCTGAGTCCCTGTTCTCATGGAATGTTCTAGTGGGAGAATTAGAAAAACAGACATGTAAAATGATGCCCAGTAGTGACAAGTGCTACAAAAATATATATAGGAATAATGAACATAAGGGTCATGGGGGAGTGGACTGACGTAGGAGCTGGTGACATTATCTGCGCAGATATTTGAATTACGTGAGGGAGCAGGCCACGTGATTAACTGGGGAGACACCATTCCAGGCAGGAGGAGGAGCTATGCAAAGGCCTTAGGATGGAAATGAACTTCCTGTGTTTAAACATCAGTAGGAAGGCCAGTGTGGCTGGATCAGACTGAGTGAGGGGGAGTTTCTAGGACAGCAGATCACACAAGGCCTTTAGATTCTACCACAAGTATGGCAGGGAACACCTGCAGAGCTTTTGGGCAGGGCAAAGACTGTAGGATCTGATTCACACAATTTAAAATGGTCAGTCTGGCTACTGCGTGGTAAATAGGCTGAAAGGGGGAAAGCACAGAAGCAAAATGGCCTGTTGGGAGGCTATCACACAGGCTAGAGAAGATGGTGGCATGGACAGGGTGGGCGCAGTAGAAGTGAACAGATTTGGGATGTGACTAAAAATAGAGCCAGAAGGATCTGCTGACAGATCTGTTGTAAGGGGTAAGAAACAGAGGAGGAAAAGATGACCTCTTCATTCCTGCCCAGACCCGTTTGGCGATAGTTGGTACTGTTTACAGAGAGATGGAAGACTGGGGTCAAGGCAGGGCTGGAGGTTGAGCAGAAGATCAAGAGTTCAATTTTGTACATTGCACATATAAGGTGGCTGTTGGATAGCCAAGTGAAGGTGTTGAGAAGATGGTTAGAGAAGTCTGGAACTTGGGGAAGAGGTCAGAACTTGCAATATAAAATGAAGAGTCCTTAGAGAGATGCTATTCAAAGTCTGAATGACAGAAAGGGAGAGATCCAAGGACCAAGCCTGAGATTACTCCAACATATGGCGGTCAGGAGAGAAGGATCCAGCCAAGAGGCCTGGGGAGTAGCAGCCAGTGAGGCAGGAGAACACTGGAGAGGGGGCGGTACCTCAGGAAGCTGGTGAGGACACTCGAGGAGGGAGGGTTGACTGTGTCAAATGTACTAAAAGGCCAGGTCAGGTGAGGACGGCGAAAGGCCCCTGGGTTTGGCTGACAGAGGCCGTGGGTGAGGCTGATGTAAACCGGTAGGAAAGAAAGCCCGACTTTGAAGAGGACTCACCGAGCAGGGGCAGCAAGAGGAGCCAAAGAGGGAACAGTGAAGGGAGAACACTCTCGGAAGGTGTTTAGCTATAAGGCTGCAGAGAAACAGAACCACGGCTGCAGGGCGGTTATGGAGTGAGGGAAACTCTTTTTAAGGTGGGGGTATACCCAGCATGCACCGTGGGAATGGGCCGTCAGGTGAAGGGAAAATTGAGGAGCAGAGAAAGAGGGAGAATCACTAGAGGGCAGAAGTCCTCGTGGCCCAGAGTGGATGTTATCTAACATCAAGTAAAGGAATTAATTGGCTTTAGAGGAGAACAAGGACATGTATCATCCCTTCTCTGGGCCTACTGCCTTGTATACACTGGGATAGGTAATGGGATAGGGACTTGGCACAACACATATTCTCTCTTTTAATTATCTCCATTATCTTATGAAGCAGGCAAGCAGTAAACAACGGTCCCAACTTTACAAATGAAACTGACGCTTTTATAAATTAAGTAGTATGTCCTAAGCAATGCAATTAATAAATGGTAGAGCTGAGATGCAAACTGAAGCAGTGGTCTGGTGGTGGCATCTAGAGTTCTTCCCGCCTTTAGGGCTGCTGTGCTGCGGTGCTGCTGTTTAAGGCCAGGAGGGCTGCATGACTGAATCTCTCAGCAGTCCAGGCAGCCATGCAGGAGACCCAGTACAGCACTGGGTAGGTCTGAGCCAGCATCTTCGATCACACCCTCTGAGCAAGCACCTAGCTGTGACACACCTCTCCAGAGACTGCACCTGCCCCACACCCCTGAACGCAGATAGGTAATGGTATACAGTAACCATTTCTAGGAGTGTAAGTAGTATGCACCCAAAACAGGTAAAACCTGCTGGCCTAGTGACAGAGACAACTCCCAGTCAGGCTAGATTGGAGGCCCTGGTTTGATAAGTGTTCAGGTGGCAAGTGCCAGAGTGGGCTTGACCAAGTAGACAGGCAGGGAGGACAAATGCTTACCAATGCAAGCTAACGAAATGTTTCTTTTGTAGAATTCCTGTCCTGTGAAGGAAGCCAACCAGACTATGTTGAAAGACTTCTTGGAAAGGCTAAAGATGATCATGAAAGAGAAATATTCAAAGTGTTGAAGCTGAATATTTTAATTTATGAGTTTTTTATAGCTTTATTTTTAAAATATTTATATATTTATAACTCATAATAAAATAAAATATATACAGAATCTAATAGCAATGGCATTTAATGGTATTGACTATGTTTATTTGACAAATGAAATTATGGTTTGCAACTTTTATGGCAATCAATTTAATTTACCAAGAGACTATAAATGGTGTGGGAACAAAACAGGAAAGACCACTTCCCCCTCGAGGAGCCCCCTCTGGAATTAGGGATATAACACACAAGATAATTAAAGAATACAAGGCCATACAAGATGTAAATGATAAGACAGCTTGGGTCCATGAGTGCTATGGATTAGCACGTTTCTGAACAGAAAAGGTATCGACTGGATATCCAGAATGTTCTCCCAACCTTGGCACACAGATTGTTATATTGAGTCTACAGAAAAAAGTAATCCTCAGTACACCACATGGCTCTACAGTGAATGATATTTAAAGTCATAATAATGTAAAGTATCTTGATTCCCAAGTCTTAGAACCAATCAGTATACAAAGCACAGAAGATCTGATGATGGTTAGAGAACAGACTACACATTGCTATCCACCAGACAATATAAGAGCTATAGCTGGAAATGTCTGGGAGGTGAAAGTAGAAGAAAAGAGAGTTGGACACCACTATCTCCAGCTTGCATGGAGAAGGAGGCAGTTAAATAATACTATCTATGGTGGATGGAATAAGAACACAAGATTTAGAGATTTATCAAAATTACAAAGGTAATAGAAGAACCAAATAGAATTTACTATAAAAACTTGGAAGTTGTAGAATAAATTAGGCAAATTCTCTTTCTTCAATAGGGAAATGAATATATGATATCTAACATTGATAAAGCAAAAAACAGGTGGTAAAAGCGGTCATGGGTTGGCAGTTGTTGCAGCTGGGGATGTGTACAGGGGGTTGATTATACTATTCTGCTTTTCTACATAATTGAAAGTTTTCATCATAAAAAGAAAAAACAATAATGAATGAATCAAGAAATCTTTGGAATTATAATGGTAGTCACTGGAAAAACTAAAAAGCAAAAGGGAAGATGGATTGCTGGGAACGGGACTTGGACTAAGGAGGGGTGAAACAGGGCTGGAGATTTTCGGCTTTCCATTATAAGTCTGTGTGTGTGTGTGTGTGTGTGTGTGTGTGTCACCATGTGCATAAATGAAATGTTTTTTAATTAAGGAAGAAATAACATTTAAAAGACAGTAAGTGTTGGTGAAGACATGGAAAAACTGGAACCCTCCTACATTGCTGGAGTGACTGAAAAATGGTACACTCACCTTGGAAAACAACTGGCAGTGCCTCAAAAGGATAAACATAGTTTATGACCCAGCAATTCCAATCCTAGCAATATACCCAAGGCAACCAGAAACACATGCCACACAAAAACCTCTACACAAATGTTCATAGCAACGTTATTCATACAGCAACAAAGTAGAAGCAGCTGGGCACAGCGGCTCATGCCTGTAATCCCAGCACTTTGCAAGGCCGAGGCAGGAGGATCACTTGAGGCCAGGAGTTCAAGACCAGCCTGGACAACATGGCAAAACTCTTGTCTTTACAAAAAATTAGCTGAGAATGGTAGCACATGCCTGTAGTCCCAGCTACTGGGGAGGCTGAGATGGGAGGATGGCTTGAGCCTGGCAGGTTGAGGCTGCAATGAGCCACAATTGTGCCACTGTACTCCAGCCTGGGCAAGACCCTGTTTCAAGAAAAAGAAAAAAAAAAAGTAGAAGCAACCAAAATATCAATCAACTGACAGATAAACAGAATGTGGCATATCCATAAAATGGAATATTTGTCAAAAAAAGAAACGTAGTACTGACATAAGCCATGACATGGATGAACCTTGGAAACAGTATGTGATGAGAAAGAAGCCAAACGCAGAAGACCACATACAGTATGATTCTACTGATATGAATTATTCAGGAGAATGCATGGAGGCAAAAATAGAATATTGATTGCCATGGGCTGCAGGTGGGGGGCAGGTGTGGAGGTATCAGGAGTGACTGATAATGGGGGGTAGGTTTCTTTTGGGGTGATGAAAATGTTCCGACATTAGGTAGTGGCAATGATTGCACAATTCTATGAATATACTAAAAACCACTGAACTGTACATTTTAAAAGGATAAATTTGGTAGTATGTGAAGTCTATCTCAATAGAGCTATTATTTAAAAGAAATTAAAAGGGGAATTAAAACCAAGTGTCATCAAAACTTGCCTTTTGAAGACTTTTTCTCTGCAAGAATACAGATCTAGTAGCAGTGATTAAGCACTCCTTTCATCCTCACGCAGATGTGACAAAATTAATACTAGTACTAAAATTACACCAAAACATGTAACATCTTTTTAACCCTTTCAAAATAAGGGAACAAATCAAAAGCTTCAAGTCTCACCCTGACCACAGCCAGTTTCACCCTGCCCACATAAAATACCAGCATGCCAAGGGCAATAAGTAACTAAGAGAGTCATGGAGCCTTCTTAGGCCAATCGGAGAAGACACATGCTATAAATTTCAATTTCCTTTCTTTTTTGATTGAGGCTCATTTGCATTCAATGGCTAATGTGAGCTGTAGTCTGCCACAGGATATGAGTAGTGGGTTACAGTTTGTGTTTGAGGCCAGGATGGTAAAGGAAAGGCTGTCAGGAAGATTTACAGCAGGCCATGGAAAGGACCACATGCAGACTCTAGGCAGGTCTGTCATCATATAAGTTTTATCAGGCAAGATGCAACTCACATTCCCATTTCCTCCCAGACAGGCATTCCTGGCCTCGGATGCAAACATACAACTACAAGACTCTGAATTTCCAAAGAGAATGAGAACACACATTGAGGAGGATACATATACAAAGAGTGGGCGAAAAAACTTCAGAATTAAGTGAAAGTTAAGATGACTGTCATCTGAGCACATTCATGTAGCAAACTCAGCCACAGCCCATGCCTGCTTCATGGGACATGCCTCTTGCCTGCACCTGGAATGTGACATTGACAGTAAGGCTGAACCTTTCCCTCCTGACTTTCAATCAGCTACCTCCACCTTTTGTCAATGAATAAACTATCTGTAACTGGCGTATAGTAGGTAATAAATAGTTATTGGATAAATGAATCAAAAAATGATTTGGCTCAAATCTATGGCTGTATGTCTTTTATTGAAACAAATGGTGGCCTCTCTTACAAATGGCATGGGGATTCCATTTGTTGCTAGCGGTCTGTTCATGTCATTGACCCTGCTCTTGGTTTTTCTCTCCTCTCCTCCACATCATCTCAGGATGGGAATCTCAAGGCTAAATACAATGCAGAACTTTCTTATGGATCTAGGTGCAGCCTGGCTTATGACACACACGGCTGGCTTCTCAGTTTCTAGCAGCTTCCACTGTCAGCAAGGTAGGCACTTTCTCTGGTCTTCGGGTTTTCTAGATTCAGTTTATCAGCTCAAGTTGGAGTTCCATTCCCAGGTGGAAGACTAAAATCCCCAGTTAGTTGTCATGCCCAGCGTTTCCTGAACTGGGCTTTTGCCTTAAGTACCCAGACATCCCTCTCCTTGGCTCTCTAAAGTGCCTTTTTTTTTTTTTTTTGAGACAGTCTCTCTCTCACCCAGACTGGAGTATAGTAGCGCAATCTCGGCTCACTGCAACCTCCACCTCCCAGGTTCAAGCAATTCTCCTGCCTCAGCCTCCTGAGTAGCCGGGATTACAGGCGCCTGCCACCACACCTGGCTCATTTTTTGTATTAGCAGAGATGTGGTTTCACTATGTTGGCCAGGCTGGTCTTGATCTCAGGTGATCCACCCCTCTCAGCCTCCCAAAGTGCTGGGATTACAGATGTGAGCCACCATGCCCGGCCTAAAGTGCCTATCTTTTTTTTTTTTTTTTTTTTTGAGATGGAGTTTTGCTCTTGTTGCCCAGGCTGGAGTGCAATGGCGCGATCTCGGCTCACCGCAACCTCCGCCTCCTGGGTTCAGGCAATTCTCCTGCCTCAGCCTCCTGAGTAGCTGGGATTACAGGCATGCGCCACCATGCCCAGCTGATTTTTTTGTATTTTTATTAGAGACGAGGTTTCACCATGTTGACCAGGATGGTCTCGATCTCTTGACCTCGTGATCCACCCGCCTCGGCCTCCCAAAGTGCTGGGATTACAGGCGTGAGCCACCACGCCCGGCAAGTGCCTATCTTCTAATCCATCCGGTCAGCTTCTTCCTGGTCCAACTTCCAGTCTCTAAGCTTTCTGCTCCTTCTAGTTTCTGATTAGCCAGAGTTAAGCCAAACAAAAGTATGTTTTGGTGTTTTGTATGCTGCAAACCTGGGTATTTACTAGGCAACATGAATAAGGAGAAGACAATTCGCTCCCTCAGTTTATACCTATCACGAGTACAAGAGAAACAGCCGAGAAGAGAGGGAGGCTAGCAATCTGGCTGATGGCCCTTTCCACCACCAAGACACAGGTGTGCACAGCATGTGCTCCCCCAATCACCATCCCTGTCTTGCTCCCTCCATCTAATCCTTCACAATCTCTCCAGCAGCTGTTTTTATAAAACACAAATAGGCTGAGTGCAGTGGTTCACACCTGTAATCCCACCACTTTGGGAGGCTAAGACAGGAGTATCGCTTGAACCCAAAAGTTTGAACCAGCCTGGGCAACATAGGGAGATCCTGTTTCTACAAAAAAAAAAAATTTTTTTTAATTTTTGCACACCTGTGGTCTCAGCTAATTGGGAGGCTGAGGCAGAAGGATTGCTTGAGCCTGGAAGGTTGAGGCTGCAGTGAGCCTTGATCACACCACTGCACTCCAGCCTGGGTGACAGTGAGACCCTGCCTTAAAAGAAGACAAAACACAATGTGACTGACCCACTTAAAATCCTTCTGTGGCTTCCCACAGCTTACAGAAAACTCCTCCAAAATAGGATCCTGTCCCATCTCTTTCTCAGCCTCATTTGCCTCCACCCCTTTTGCCCTACTTCAAGCATACCACCAATGCACATGGCATCCAAACTCACTCACTCCTGGAATGCTTTTCCCCAACTGTTGAATTGCTTAAGACCTCAAACAGCATTTCACCT